GATGATGATACATGATGATGATACATGATGATGATGATGTTGTTGCAAATACTCTAATCAATATACAAAGTGTACTTACATAATTTCTAAGGCAGTTGCACCGATAAACGTATATTTAGATATTGAGGTTATCTTGTTCTTTTCGAGCAATCTGTCGATGGAACAGATATGGAAAAGACTGAGTTCCACAATATGACTTCACAATGATATAATCATAGCTACAAGCTCTTAGAACTATAAAACAGTTTAATACCAATCAAGTGACATAAATCAATTGCCAGTGGAATTAATCGTTGGAACTAAGTACTCACATATGCTTTAATTTACGAGTGTTCCAGAAAGCTCCGTCAGCAATTTGGTTAATCTTGTTGTTAGTAAGACATCTAAAATAAACAAACAAACAAACGAAACGAAACGATTAAAAATAAACTTCGCGCGATTGGTTGGCTGTAAAACTTAAAGTTGGGCATTGCATTAAATGAGTTTCTCTCGAGTTTCTCTGCATTGACTAAGAATGACCATTGCGAGAAGGTATAGGTGTAAAATAACCTTCCTCTTATAACAGACACACTTTCCAGTCTACTACATTGGATGTTGAAAACTAGCAGTTTGCAGTCGAAACGTCGCGGTCCTTCTACAAATGACCCTCAGTCGTGAGACAAATAAATAAGAATCATTTATTAGAATTTCGACTAATATTTTTCATTTTATTAATCTTCCTCTTGCAATAAGGCTTAATAATCACTATCTTAAGAGACTGAGAAAGAACTAATTAAAATCTTCTAAGGGCGTCTATAAGTCCCCCAACTTATGTTACTTACAGGAATGCAATGTTTATCATTCTGAAAAAAAGGTTTGCATTGATAGTTGTAAGGTAGTTTCTTGAAAGATCGCTTGAAGAAAAAGAAGATTGCAAAGGATAAATATTATGTAGCGATTGCTCTTGTTCACTTCATATAAAAATATAATCCGTTCTTTTATGCCATCAATATTAGGTGTCATGATCTGGTGCGTTTCCCTACATAGTGAGTCCCCAATATAATGCGTATTTTCAATAGAGGCTTTGCACCATCACGTGATGGCAGCCATGATAGGACGCACAACAATAGAGTCTTCTCTGGGAAACTGAATCCTTTCTAATGTAAATCAGATTAGACCAGATTCAATTGTTCCTGCCTCCTGTCATGGCTGCCATCACGTGGTGATGCAAAGCCTCTATAGTCTCTTTCACATTTCCCGCGCCATCTTAAAAGGTTGCCTTGCCTTTGCATCGAAGCGAAACGAACGGTGAGCTTGCAATGATAGAGACCTCTTTTAGACACCTTGTACAATAATTAAAACGTCTCTATTATTACAAGATTATCGTTTGTCTCGCTGCGATGCAAAGACACGGCTACCTTTCAAGATGGCGCAGGGAACTGTCGTGAAGGGGACTGTTGAATATAGGTTGAGCTGAAAGATGTTTATGCTTACAGAAAGTGAAGATTTACTAGATCATCAAAACTGCCATCTTCTATATAGATCATTCTGTTGTGTGCCAACTGTCTGCAATGGTAAAAGTAGTCATATCGATGCTATCCTTTACTTTACCAGATCGAATATGGACCACCTTGGGTGCGACCTTTACGAAAATCTCAACAGAAGAGACAAGTGAAAAATTAAGGCCATAGAATAGCCTGCGTAGCGGCTCTTGGGAGGTTGGGAAGAGAGGGGAGGGAGAATGGGGAGAGGAGGGGGAGGCCAGGGGAGGGGAGAAGAGGAAAGGGCCATAGAATAAAAAAGATTACTTTAAGTGTGATTTATGTACATTTGGCAACAGTTACCAAACTCTACTTCGAACAATTTATATTTCAGTGATGTTATACTTTAACATCCTTGAGCATGATTAAAAACTTCCAAACTCGATTTCTTCTTGGCTGCGATCGGGTACAACAGGAAAATATTTAAAAGAGGCGCAAATTAAGATGTGTTTTTTTTTTTTTTTTTTGTATTTCCCTGTTAGCCTTTTGTATTCAAAATAAATTTGGAAGGGGTCGCTATGGCGAAAAAAATCCAGGCTGTTTGGCATGGTTACTCTACAAAGCGACACTCACAGAAATAAAAGAATATGCAGGCCTGTAAATGAGGTTCTGTTGATGTGTGTCAGTTTATTTGCTCTCAGGTCGCTATAAAAATAACAAATATAGTTACAATAGCTTGTAAAGCCGTTTACAATAACAATGTCATCGATAACGAGACGCCCAGGGGCGGAGGGGATTGCGCACTCCTATACATGGCCAATACGGGGGCGTTACAGTGGAATGGGTTTAGTTTTTCAGGATTCATGCAGGATTTCCATGATTTTGTCTTGAGCAGGATGATCATTCTTGGATAGATTAGAGCTTTCTAGCGTTTTCGTCTCAGATAAGGTGCTTAATTTTGAATTTCGTCGAAACTGATTTCCCCCTTCGCCCGAAACGATATTTAGCGCGCAGCTTTCACAATAAACGCCGCCTAAGACATTGGTCGACAACAGCATATTTCAGAGGATTTACGTACAGTATTTGTAACTGCTGGAAGGCTTTGAATGCATCAGGTTTTATTGCATCGATTAGATTATTAGCCGCGTAACTAAAAGTCATAAAATAAGGAAATAAACGAAAAATGTCATAAGATTGGCTCACAGCTTATGAATTTTAAAAAAATATACGGCCCTAAAATAGAGTCTAATATCTAACCCTAAATATAACTTATGATTTAAAAACTGGGGGAAAATTTTTTTTTTTTCAAATAAAATATTATTATTTTGAGATGTGATTCATTTTGAGATATTTACAAATAAACACAAGCGTACTAAAGTTTTTTGAAGATAATAGAGCAAAAACCACTTTCTACGCAAAACGACACGAAAATGAAAACAGATCTAGAAAACAATGATAACAAAATTGTGTTTCTAGGCCAATTTCAATATTGTCAGTTGTACTTTCCGCGTAACCTGAAAATAAAGCTGCCAACAATACTGGAACGAATTTCCAGTATTCCGGGGTTTTTAAGCCTTCGTCACGTGGCCAAAACTGGCGCCTGTGGTTGGCTTTCTGCCTCGTGAATTTGGGGGAACGAGGTATTAGTATAGAAAACTAAAAGGAAAATGCGTACAGGACTATTAGACGTTCTTCTAGGTAGGAAAATGTCTCGTTGGTGATTCTCGTAAGATACATGTGTCTTATGTCTCTGAAAAAGAAAAAAAAAAAGATTTTAGAAAAGTCATTGATATTTTCAACCATCATACTGCGGGCATGCAGGATGATGTTGAGGGCATGCAGGATGATGTTGCAGGCATGCAGGATGATGTTGCGGGCATGCATGCAGGATAATGTTACTTACAATTTCATGCACTTCTTTAAGCCCCGGAATGTGCCTGGCTTGAATTCGGACATTTTTATCCCACTGAGATGGCTTCAGAAAAAAGAAATAACAATTAAGTGGTTCTATATTCTACGATTGCATGTTACGACGTCATCGCGGTCATGTTGGTTAACGGCACCAAAATGGCCGCTATGTTTTTGTCTTTTGACTCTCTTGGAAATGCTCGCAACCCATCAATACGAGAATGTTAAACCATATGTTTACGCAATAACCTTTTGAAAAGAAAAATATTCGTCATAAATAGACCTTTTAAACTTGGGCGTATGACTGTAATGCTTTCTTATTTCAGTAGACCTCGTGTTAGGCATTTTCTTGAGAATAGAGATTCTTTATTTGAGTGGTATTCCGTATTCAAGGGTCTTCTCATGCACAACCGTTAAACAAAGAAATGATACTCTAGGGAATAACACGTGGTCTGAAATGGCTTAACGCAAAAATAAGCAACAAATCAAGAAAATAAGTCGTAAAATACAAATATGCCACTTACACATATCTTACATTTCCCAGTGGCAAGAAGGTGTTGTTAGGTATATCAGTGAAACCAGACTGTATGAAGTTGCTGTTGAATAATGGAATATCATGCTAAAAGATTTCAAAAATTCGCATAAAAATCACAAAAAAATGAGCAGGTTCTGAATCTTACATTTCAGTCAGCTGCGAGGTGTTTATAAATGTACTTGCATCGATTGTTAGATAAGGGGTTTGTGAAGCGTCTCTACATCAAAAGAAAGAATTAAGGACTGATGAAGATAAAGCATCAAAGAAATAAAGAAATGATGATGATGATAATGATAATGATGATAAGAATGATGATTACATGTATATCAAGGATGTCATTCCAGTAAACACAAGTTTTTTGAAGGGATTGTCTCGTAAACGTCTGAAAAGAAATAACGGAGAAAACTGACAGCTATTTCAAAAACGAAGTTTGGTTAAGGTTTTGCTGCTTCTTGCATGTTGCATAAACTTGAACGAACAAGCACAGAAGTGATTATGCTGGAAAAACTTGCAGAGAAAGTTCAGGAAAATCTATATCGCAAGCTTTCGTTGATTGATTTCACATTGCCGGTAGTGCAGTTCGGAACATGCAACATGCAACATGCAACATGCAACATGCAACATGCAACATGCAACATGCAACAACGATGAAATAGCTGATATTGTTCAAATTTTATCAAAATCCACTGATCTACTCTAAAGAATGACACCGACAACCATTCAGGTGATTTTCTAAATGTTTAGTTTCAAAATTGTTCTTAAAACAGTCTGGTTCTTATAACGTATGCAAAGCGTTTGTAAAATGTTCATTACTCACTTAGTATTTTGAAGCCCAATAAGTCTATTCGGTTCAGGTGAGGGATATAGTTCATCTAAAGCACCCCCAAGCATGGATGCCCACCCTAGGTGCCCACCCTAGGTGCCTACCCTAGGTGCCTTAATCTCTATAACCAGTGATAGATATCATTTACGAGGCACTGGACAGGAACCAATAATCCCCTTGCATTTGACGTCAAAGATGCTCGAAGTAAAGGATAAAACAAAAGCATTTCAATCTCCTGAGAACAGACCGTTTTCTCGAGGTCGCGTGCGCATCCAACTTGAAGGGTCACAAAACTGAAAAACGCAAATTCAGTAAAACTGAGAAGACAGTTTTATAATAATCGAATAATCGATTTGATGAATTCTTATTGAAAATGTTTTCATAGCAATGCATAATAATATTCGTGTTCTGGTATCGTGGCCCGTTAAGCTCCTTAAATTTGGATGCGCACGCAAACTTGAGAAAATGGTCTACTATAAACCTCTTCAGCTTGGGCGTCGTGTTTTCTCATTTCAGACCACGTGTCATTCTCTTGAGAATAAGATTCNAACATGCAACATGCAACATGCAACATGCAACATGCAACATGCAACATGCAACATGCAACAAACTTTTTTGAAATAGCAGTATATCCCTAGCCAGATGGTTGGGTTGGTAGGAAAACCAACACTATCAATCTTCAATCATTTTGTTATTTTCACTACATTCTACTTACAACCACGCCACTCTGCCAAGACCTCGGAATCCATTTTCATCAATGTGGGAAATTTTGTTGAAGCCTAGATCACTAGAATAATAAAAATGAACCGTGATAATTTTATACAAGTTTACTCGTGTTGTAGTGGATTGCTTTACTACCGATGCTTAATTCTTTTAATTTCAAATTCAACTAAGATCATCTTAGTTTCACAATTATCGAGGCAAATTCATAACAACTGAGAAAATTCGTAAAAGCTTTATTGCTCCTTCCATAAATAAATCATTGCATCTTTTGTGTTAAAAGCTTCGATTCTTATAATTAATAGTTATCAATAAGGTATTAATAACCTGCAATACTATGTTGCATGTTGCATATGAACTCACAGGTCGTCAAGGCGTTCCATGCCAAAGAAGAGGTCTTCAGTGATCATTTCTATTACGTTTATGTGAAGATAGCTAAAATGACACCACTACGTTAAGTATTAAACTAGAATCAATATGACTAGGAATATAAGTCATGTGAGAACTAGATATGAATAAAAAACTTTGGATATATCAAAGGCCTTCATTTGAAGCGTTAGAACTGATTGTGATTAGAATGAAGAACCACTTTCGTTAAGATAGTTGAATCTATAAGCTATTCATGACTACTTTTCACTCAATCGTATACATGCTTACAGAATCACTGACATTTAATTCATATGCAATACTCCAGTTTCGAGTTCTCTGTTGCTCAGATTTAGCCTCGATTTTGTGCAGAATATTTATGTGTTCTAGTGAAGTGTTTATATTTTTAAAGTTCTGCATTCTTTACTTTACCGTTGGTATTTGTGAATGTTTACACTCCGATACAAAGCCTGAGCTAATAAGTCCGTAATCAAGGAACAAAGCGGTAATAGACCTTTTCGGCATGGGGTAATTTTTTTCCATTTCAGACCACGTGTCATTCCTTTGAGAATAAGATTCTTTATTTTGAGCTGTATCCATATTCATGTGTCTTCTCATGTGCAACCGAGTGCAAACCTTAAACAAAGAAATGATACTCTAGGGAATGACACGTGATCTGAAATGGGAAAACATTACGTCAGAGCCGAAGAGGTCTATTTGGAACTCGAAACTGGTTCATTCGCCGGACATGAGTGGATAGTATCTTACAGTTTCCTCAAATATCGCAAGTCGTGCTTGGTAACGTTTTTCACTGCTCGTAGTCCGAGCTGGTTGTTTGAGAGACTTCTGCCAAGACAAGATAAACGAAAAACTTCAATGTTTTGTTTGTTTTGTTTTGCTTTTTTTTTGGTGGAGGAGGGGGGGGGGGGGGGGGACGTGTGTTTATTTGGCATGGTTATTTTAACGTGTTCTTTTTTTTAATTTGTCGAGTACTTAATTACAGAGCGATAAGGTTGATATCTCCTTTGAATGCATTTTCTTCCACCACAGATAACTGATTCCCATAAAAATATCTGAAAATAAAAATTCAAAGACCGAGTGACTCAAAGCCAGAATAGGACGTTCGCATGGATGGCGTCATATTACTACAAAATGCTTCGCGAATTTCCTTTTACATCCGAATTCGTATTGACTTATAAGAATAGTAAGACAATTGGTGCTGATGAATTGAAGAAAAAAATGTGCAAAGGATTAATCTGGTAGGTAATGACGCCATAACGCAAATGTCTCTAGAAATTCACTTATCTAAAAAGAATTTCTGCCATTCATTCTCAAAGTTTCAGCTGTATTAAAATATCTTACCTTGGCCATCTTAAATTTCATTTGCAGGTTTCAATCATCTATTGTTAGCTCTATTTTTGCCTTCGTTAAACTATTTTTGGCACTTTTTCACAGATATTTTTTACTAGTTGTTGCATTACTTACAAGTGATTGAGGACGGGTAATCTATCAAACATTCCTTGCTTTATTTCTTTGAGTCTGTTAAAGTTAAGTGTCCTAAAATATATTTAAAAAGCTGAGAATTAAAATCATTTATACCAGAACGCGAGACATCTTTATAATGACCTGTTCCATCTTCTCTGCATCATCCTTTTCTGATATTGAAACAGGATGCATTGTGGTCTAGCTTGGGTACCAACAACACTTTATAAGGCATGGTAAACTCAAAAGATGTTTGCACCCAAGTTAGAGACATTGAAAAAAACGATAATAAAAAACGATTCCTGCCATCTAACATGGCTGCCTTCAGGTGATGGTGCAAAACCCCAATAACTATATTACTTACAGTGCTATTAATTTGGTCAATGTATGGAAGGCACCTGCAGCTATGGAGTATATCTTGTTGTTATCTATATACCTATGAAAACAGAATATAATGTTTATCATATAATAATAGCATGCAAATTGAATGTTTTTGGAGCTCATCAATGTGGCTTACAGGTATCGTAGAGTTGATGACAGATTAGAAAAGGTTGTCTTGTTTATTGAAGAGATGAGGTTCTCTGAGAAATCCCTGTTAGAAACCCGGCAGAAGATTGGGATGTCAGTAGGACAAGAGGACAAGAGGACAAGAGGACAAGAGGACAAGAGGACAAGAGGACAAGAGGACAAGGACAGGGACAAGGACAAGGACAAGGACAAGGACAAGGACAAGTGCATAGAGGGGTGAAAGAGGACTAATCAGATGAAGAACTCGAATTCGAGAAAGTGCGAACCGTTACATTTGAGATAGCAATACTCACAAGAATAATAATCTGTCGAATCCTTGCCATGAATTATTACAGATTCTTTCAATTGAATTTTTCTTAAGAGCTCTGAAAAAAAAAACAACACAGTGACAAAAATTAATTGAAAAACATATAAGCTATCCAACGTATTTTCCAGATTTAGCATTTTACAGTTATGGGCAAGCAATTATAGGACGAAACAAATTTTAAGACTCGATGCGATATCAGCAATGATGACCATTACAACAAATATTGTTCTTACAGATAAGAGGCGTTTCTTGGAATGTTGTACGAAATGTTCGTTAATCCAATATTTTCACACTTCACATCCAAATTCACATCATGTACGAGGGAACATAAGCAACCAGATGGGCAGTAGGCTTGAACACAATAAAATAGAAAGAAAGAAAAGGAAAAATGTTTGTGATCACATGAGTTGGAATGCTTTAGGTGAACACTAAAGAAAAAAAAACGGTTTTTGAATGCTAATATGGCAGTCACTGATTTTGAAGTAAAATTTTACACCTTCTTTCTTATCAAACCAATGCATATAATGCATATTTTTTGTACTGTACTGTTTTTGTGCCGTGCCATATCCAGTACAATGCAGCGAACGAAAGCAGAAAGCATTTTACACTTCTAAGACTCGTATGCAGGTGCAACAATGCCAACAACTGCATGCCTTGACTGCCAGATCAACATGAATATTGCCTGATTGGTAGAGCTAATAATAGAGAATCTTTACAAAACAACAGCACGTCCTTCAAGCAGTGTCTTTCCGCGGTTTGTCAAGACATGTCGACATAGTTATATGCATAACGAATAGAATGTCAACTTGCAAGACTCTGAATTACCTATTGCGAAGACATGACTTGCGCAAGACTGGATGAAAAGAATCAGAGATATCCAGTGGCAGCTCCTGCATGAAACGTTAAAGAATTAAAGTCAACTGTAAAAAAGAGATAATACTATGCATACACTTTTGTTGAGCTGAATAGAAAGTGTGTGGGAAGAATAGAATATAAGAATGATAGCATGAAGGGAATTCAGAATCACAGTGAGGAGGGACACGTAAGTAAAAAGTAAAACCAAGAGACAACGAATTACCGAAGACGGAAAGAAGTTATTGGCATACAACTATACACGAAAAATTGAGGTTTTAAAATCAATGGTTCAGTCGACTACAAACACTCTGAATATCTCAAGACTAACCTCCGTGTTCTTAATGAGAATAATAATATTATATAAAAAATAAAAAATAAATAAAAAAAATAGAAAAATAAGAAGATAAAAACAAAAAACGCGGGAAGAGGGAAGGAATTACTGAATCCTCATCAATTAGGCAAACGAATTTCAAAATCCTAGCGTAGGCAGATACAGAAAGCCAGAAACATCTTACTTTTACAGAACAGAAACCGCTAACAACTATAAGATAGATATTAGATTATATTTACTTAAACCTTACTAATCATTTCTTACCGCACTACTTACCACTTACATATTCTTTTTCATTTTACTTTACTACGCATACCGCTAACGAATTTTTTTTTAATAAGAGAAAACCGAATCTCGATCGCTTGGAGATATCATTTGAACACGTATATAGTTTTTAGTTTCTTCAGCTGCTGAATGATAACGTTTCTCTTCACTTCCTATAGTGTTTTGGACGGATTTTGAGTTGCTTCTAACATGCACTATGTTCGAATATTCTTTGATGTGTTCTTATTTCTTATATAGCACGACTTGAATCGCTAGCTAGCTTCTAGATTATCTTACGATATCAATCTTACCTTGAAATTCGCGAGTTTAGATTCTTCATTTCGATATTTTTCAGTCTTAGATTTATTTTCTGGGTTTATAAAGTAAAAAGAAGAAGAGCATATCGTTGTTTAGGTTTTGATCCATGCCGTTCGACTGAGATCAACACAGTATCATTCCCCTTATTACTCCCAGTCAACGCCTTCCTTGACTGCGTACCGTCCAATCATACACACCTGTACACACTAACCAATCACAAGCCAAGGATTTATGATAGTTACCTCATTATTTTGTTTTTCACTCGATGTAATAAATTCTAGGTTTTATATTTAGTAAATTGACCAATTTCATGGCAGCTATCAGTATATTTAATTTGCCATATGTTAGGTCAGGTGCGAAAATAACTCGTTAATTTAAAACTTGATTTTTTTATCATGAATTTTATTAATAAACTTAACTTAACAGTAGGTTGCTGCTACTTTTGCTTATATATATACCCCATGGTCAAGTGTTCTTTGTTAGCTATCATTAAGTTAACGAAACTATCAAAGCGTTGTAGATTAAAATGGTTTCTGTACGCTAAATACTTGCTCTATTTTAATATAGGAGCTTCACGCGAGTCCAGATATCTTCTCTTGTTATCAAAGCAAAAAATTGGAATAGTTTTATTTTTGTCTTTTTATTTGTTCAAAAATCGACCTTTTTCGAAAAGATATGGCTATGACTTTTAGACAGTGTTCTTTTGGATTATTCCATATAAGGAACACTCAATTATCCAATCGGAGTTCGAGTCTTATCGGTATATAATCAGAAAGAATAATACATTTCAATATTCGAATAACGAAACCATTAATTGAACCTGTAGGGGGGTAAGCTTGAGCCGTTTTGCTTGAATTGCCCATTTCAACAAACAGTTACTTGATTATATATTACCATGTTTAATAACGAATCAACAGTCGAAGGTCAAGGTCACTTGGGGAAGACTGGCAAAACAAAACTTTAAATTTTCGTATTTTGAAATCGAAAGTATCTCATAAAGGGAAAAAAGTATTTTGAACAAAGGTTGTAGATATGACATTATTAATCCGCCAGCAAAAGTTATTGAATAAAGGAAGCCCAATTTATTTTTTCCATCCAGTGACAGTCATGTGATTATGACCTACAAATGGCCTATTGGCAGATGGTGCTTGATTGAGTCCGACCCTTCAGTATAGCCTCCTGCTTCTAATATAATGCCGGTCATGAGATAAGAAAATTAAATCTCGCTTTACTTAGCTCTAGACAATATCTTCACTACTAGCCCTCCAAGAAAGGTAATCGCAATATTTTCAGTATATCTTGATTTGCGAATTCATTTTTAAAAATAGCCATTTTGGCTACATCAGCAGGTTCCTATTTTACTGCAGTTTTCGATATTCTGCGAACTCAGTCTGCGATCTGCAAGCAGAAATCTGATTTTTCTTTGCTGTCAATCAATGGCACCTTTTATATTCTTGACTAGCTAGCGGTAGTAAAAAATCGATTTCGCAACAAACCCTTGAAATGCATGTCTGAGTTCGCAGATTATCGCATTAATTGGGAACATATTTTAACGGCCATCCACAAAATATTTGTCTATGCCCTAAGGGACTGGTAAATAATTACGGGAGGGAACGGTGGACGATAAATTCCCCAAAAATGCCTCCCTTTTTTTCAGGGAGCCCCTAAGAAGGAAAAAAATTTTTTTAGGACGCCCCCAAATATAGTGAAATTCTCCAAAATAAAACTTCGCAACGCCCCCTAATTTCATTCGGGTGAGCTTCACGTCGCCCCTATTTTGCTTTCAATTTTTTTTTCAGGACGCCCCCTATTTCTCATCCACCGCCCCCCCCCCTTCC